AAATAAAGGAAGATAAAGAACACAAATGAATGGCCTATCCCAGTCTTTAACTCTACAAACTATAGCAGTGTGTTTCCTTTGTTTCCTAATCACATTATCACTCAAGCCTGTAGGAAACTAACCGTACAGACAAGATGCATTAAATGTGCCCAAGGCCCTTGATTTTAATGCAGAGTTCACAAGCCATATCACCTGCATTTTATATAAAGCAACAATACATACTTTACATACTTTATCATTTTATAATGCTTAATTCTGTTCTACACCACTTAAGAAGGAAATTAGCTGCTTATCTTTTTTTCCAGGCAAATAAGGTAACATGGTTATGAGCCAATCATTTCAGATTTGTTTTCCTCGTACTTGTTGGACCCAGCTCTGGGTTAACAGGTCCCCATGTAAAACCAACTTGGTTGACTCAAAATGGATTTCCTTTTAATCTATGCCAGCATACAGAAAATGAAAATTGATGCCTTAGGAGCAGAATGCATTTACACTGCCAGATTTTTTGCAGCTGCAATGAGAAGGGATGGGGCAGGTGGGCAAGACAGCATACCACACCTGAATTCAGCCTGGTAACCTGGGGACAGATGGCATGAAAAGGAACCAGACACCGAAAAATTCAACTTCATAATCAGAAAAACTATAAACATACAGCAAGTGAGCATGAGATTTATGCTGAAATTACAGAGGAATTCCCATAGATGATTACTTCCAGCCCTGGCATGGAAAGCAAATCCATCAATATGAATGCCACTACATTAACAGTGCAGCTGTCAGGCCTCTTTGCTACCAAACCTGGTAAATACAGAAAGGGGCTATGGCATTGCTCACCAAAGTAGTCATCAGAGGGAGGATTCTCCATGTCATACAGCATTTTCTTGGTCAGATGTTCCAGCTCATCTTCAGGCCTGAAGGCAGGAGTGCTTGATGCGGGTCCAGAGCTTGGGTACCCACTCTGAAAAAAAAAGTACAGTCTGTGATGTGGTATAAAAACATGGTACCAGGGTCTATTGGCTGTTCAGTGTTGAACTTCATTCTTTGTCTTATTTTGACTTTTTTTTTTTTTTTTTAACCCAAGGGATTAATGCAAGTAAACATCTTGTTTAATGTAATGACAATTGACTTCTAAAAACATCCAGTGAAGTGCTATATATCTTCCTAGAATGAGACGTATTCTGTGCCTCATAATTAGGTGTCTACTGGGTAGCACATAATAATAAATAAAGGAGAAAATTATTCCAAGGATAACCTGATACAAACATTTTCCAACTCTGAAAAAGGCTTTGGAAGCATTTCAGTTTGGATTTGGCAAAAGCTTCCATTACTTAACAACATAATATAAAAGATGCTAGAACAATCATCCCTACGCTGTTGGAGTATATGGAGAAAGACAGATAATCCTGAGCTGCTAGTTCTGTTCTCTTCTTGTTTGTTTTGACACAAATCCTGCTGTTAACATTAGTGAGAGTGGGAGCTGGTCCACAGATTTTTAGTACAAAGGTTTTAATATGTGCTTAGAAACTGAGACCTCTTGGCCTTCATATGATAGCAGCTGGCATACAGTATTTGGAGTCTGTCACAGTAAGGCTCGTCCCTGGAAAACAGCAGAAGTATGGGCATATTTTGAGAAGCACAGAAAGAGTCTTGTGCATAGAAGTTTCTTACATGAACCTAGGTTTGGTGTCCAGAATGAGAAACTCGGTCATTTTGAGATCAAAAAATGCTGACACCAGCTTTTCTTGTGTACACTGCTTTCCTGAAAACTGACTTATTTATGAAATGCAACACTTCAGTAAAGCAAGTGATTTCATTGACTAATTGCTGCCTTCATCAAAGACTGGAACTTAGATATGAAACTTATGAGCCTTAGTCTACAAAGAAACATTCTCCCATGCTCCATACCTACTTAAATGGGAAGAAAATGTAAAGTCCCCGAGGAAACAATACACTGGCCACTTCTATCTGGCTTATAGGGACCACATCTGACATGATGAGTCCTTATTGAGCCAGTCATGTTCAACAGAGAACGGCAGCTTTAAAGCACTGAAAGGAATTAACTAAATGCTTTTATGCTTTTTTCTTTCAGGCAAGGAGATTTCAAATAAGACATCAGTCAATGTAGAAAGGGTGTCAGAATGGTGCTTAGCAATAATACTTCAATCGTCTACTCCCAGAAACCAAACACCTGGATGTTCCTGACCTTGTCATATTTATTTTTCTAGGGCCTATGCTAAGCTGTACACCATCATCCCTGCACTTGTTGACCTGCTCTATCTCACAGGCACTGCATCCATTGAGTGCAGCTGATTACTGTACCCCCGGAAGTGCTGGATTTGTCATGCACATGCGATACAGCAGTTTCACCTGATGCCTGCTCACTGAAAGTAGCAGCAGTGCACAAGGGAGATAGGTGGCACAGTCCCCTGGAAGAAAGGGCACCTGAAATAAGCCCTGGGTGGATGAATTTCCCTGGAGGGCTGTGCAAGGTCTATTTGCCATACACTCAACCTTCCTGACTGAGAATATAGATTTGACCTACCATACATTCAGGTTTTCCCAGAGACGTTTTCTTTTTCTTTTTCTGCTCATTTTTTCTTTTTTCCTGAGCAATATTCAAGGATTTTGTGCATTTATCCAGGATTTTTAGATGCCTAGCAGTTGTTCTGAGGAAGCTGTTGAACATCTGGAAATCCTGAATGTCAATACGCAGCTCAGTAAACTCTACTGTAAAAATGCAACCATGCTGATGTGTTTGAGTTACCACAACTTACTTTTTCATGTGGGAAAACAAGCCTGTATGGTGCACAGGACTTGCATTTGCTTTCTATGTCATGGAAGTGCCATCTGTGTGGGATATATCATTTTGGTGAGGTTAAGGCCATTCATATGACTAGGAGTTTCAGAGCCAGGTACTTGACCCAGCACACCCAGACACCCTTGGCAAGTGCTTTGTGGCTGTTTTTAGAAGGCTAGTCGACAACTATTTCATTAGAAATAATAAATAGCATAACCCTGAAAAAAGGTTTATTAATAAGCTAATTAAAGGTGCCAAATGTAAAGCATTTAATCTTGGAACAACCTATTTTTTTCCCTTTGCTCTCTTGTTTCTAAGAGCCAATCGTGAATCTTGCCTGAATGTATATTTTAACACAGCAAGTGCAGCCAAGGATTTATTAGCTTGAGAAATCAATATGGAAACTGAGTCTTTTAAAATATTATCCCATCTATTGTACTTACTTCAGTTTCCATGAAGAAAGGAATGACCATTGCCACCTCCTCGACTTCGCTAGACTTCACACAGAGAAGACAGTACGGTGAGAAGCTGCTAAGGGTCCCCATGCCCATATTTCCCCCATTAGCAATCACCAGTGTGGTACAAATGCATGGATATGCCATGCTCTAGCCTCTTCTGTGAGGCTCTCTCAACACATAATCTGAAACACTGCTTTTACTCTTGGACCTTATAATATAAATGGACCAAAACTGAAGGCATGAGCTGCTGCCTGTTCACAGAAAAGGGAAGCAAGATACGTGTAGCTGAAGCAATTTGCCCATCATTACACATGGGCTCTAAGGTGAAGACAAAACCTGCATCCAGGCCTGCTAACCCTAACCCATGTCCTCAGCCTGGCACACAGCCCACTAGGTCTGGACTCAGCTTTGCACACCTACACTGGCCACTCTCTGACCCAAAGCCACCACATCTGCAGGCCACCACCAGCCAGGCTTTGACAGGACACCCTGAGCAGGCGGTGTTTGAAGCCTGCCCCTTTCTTTCATGCCAGCTCCCCACACCTCCCAACTGGGAGGCCTGCTCATGCCTTCTTCAGTAAGGGCTTGGGCTGTGACACTTAAAATAAATGACCAAAATCTGCAGGTTTTCAGTTCTATCTGACTCTGGGTTTGGAGGCCACATTGCCTCATACACACAAAAAAGAGGCGGCTCTCATATTTTATCTGCGTTGTGCTTTCCCAAACCAGGAAGATTTCTTATCCAGTACTCAATGTTAGCAAAAATAACAAATGCCAACCACAACGTTATGAGACACTTTAACTCATTTTGACTAAAATGCTGTACCTTTTTGACCAACATTTAAACAGTGCTAGGCACATCTTTTTCTTCTTCACATGACACATGATGACTATGTGCCTCCAGGAAAATGCATTTCATGCATATGAACATGCTGTTGAGTTTGCTGGGACACGCACACGCACAAACGGAGAGAGAAAAGCGTATCCTTAGTTCAATCTAAAATGCTTGTTTCAGCAAAACAGTTTCCTTCCTCCTCCTTTGTTAGGCCAGGGTAAAAATATAACTCTGGCTTTCCTTACAAAACAGAGTTGTGTTGTTATTGTTTATTAAACTTCCTCTATTTTTTCCTGATCTGTACAATGATCAAGGCTGTCTAGAAATCCAATTTGCTGTCTAATCTACCACAGTTATCTTCATGCATTCTCTTTTCTCCATGATGCCTCAATGCACACAAATATATACTTCTTTAGCTAGACACAGCTCAAAAGCTGGGGTCTGTGCCAAATTGCAACATGGCCTCCCAAATTCCCTGAGCACCACTCTGTCTGGCTAACCACAGAAACATCAGGGATGACAAACTGACCCATGAAAATAGAAAAAAGCCTTGGTCAGCAAAATCCCAGCAGGAAGGACCATGCTCTGGGAGCAGGAGCACATGAGTCCAACCTTGGCTACTGTCATCAAAAACTGAGCAAAAACTGAGGGAAGAGCATGATGATTGCACTCAGATGTGCAGATGCAAATGCATTCACCAAAAAACACTGTCCTGCATGCTTAATTAATGGGATGTTTAAGAAAATACAGGCATTCCCAGGGTTAAATTCTGTGACAGAAAATATCTTCATGCTACAAATGAAACGAAGTGAGTTAATTGCTTGTGCTAATCTCAAAGCACTGCAACATCTGGCCATCTTCCTCATTAAAGTTCAGTTCCTAAAAAGCCAGGTCAAAAGAAGCAGTCGTGTGGAATCACTGCATAATTATTTTGGTATATGAAGTTGATACTTGTTTCAGGGCTTCCATGGCACGTTTTCTACTCCAGACCTCACTGGTAGTCAGCTGTCTCCGATGTAATGGCTGCCCAGAAAAGGGAGCTCTGCAGTTGGTGCAGTGCATTCACCAACATGAACCTTCCCCATCCACATATAAATATTTACCCAAATGGGTAAAAACCACAGCCCAAAAGCTACAGAGACATCTAAGATGACGCTGTGATGAATGCACTGTGATTCAGAGTGCACTGTATGTGGTCATTTTTCTTGTCCATTTGCAAATGTTGTAGAAGAAGCTGCTTCTCTCTGAGAGAAAATAACTTCAATTACGTGTTCCCAATTACAGAAACGTGGAAATTATCTTCTTTTCAGAAGGTAGAATTAGCCCAATTTGGAATTGAAAGGCAGCCAGAAACATCTTTCACTGACACTTACTTTCCCTTTCATTTTTTATTTTTTGTTCATCTCCATAAAGTTAGCACTTTCCTTTCACTTCACTCACCAAAACTGATCAGCAGTTAAATAAACAGTTAAATAACAGCACAACACATTTCTTATTCAAAAGCCTGACAAACACCATACTTTTTCATTCAAGTTATTGACATCGAAAACTTTCAGACCAAAAAATCCAGCGTGGTGCCACATAGAACCATAGAATCAAATAGGTTGGGAAAGACCTTTAAGATCATCAAGTCCAGACTTCTCTCACAAGTCATGCTCCCTAGAAATATCAAGATTGTCTGCAGCTGTAATTCAGTTTATAATTAAGGCCAACTGATCTCTCTTACAGAGGAGATGCGCTGGAAAAAAATATTTTATTTCTTGATTTATTTTCCCCAGTGAAAAACTACAGCTGCCAGAGTACATATAGATTCCTGAAGAGACAATTCTGCATGGATTCCCTGTGACATGCACATTCCTGGGTTTACT